TTGTGAATAAAATGTAATGACAATATGAGTTCCTACAAAATGAGCAAAATAAATTATATGTTTCTGTTTCTTTTTTACAAAATGTATTTTAATTGATAAGACCGTCGAAAATCAATATGAAAAATGCATTATACTTTAGTAGTCATTTTTAACCAAATGCATTTTTTGCAGGAGATCAAAATGAATTGCATTAAATGGCTGATCTCCTGGTGAGTCCGAAATGTGCATGATAATCAGTAAAATAGCACCACTTAAGTAATCCTTCCTAATCGGAAACGCATTTTGAAATGTTGGCCAACATTTCATGAGATCGGTCACGCACTGTAAATAATGTCCTGTGCAACAGTGGGACAATAGAAGCGAAGAGCCGAGTCCCAGGAAGTAGTCTTGAAGAAGGAGACACGGCGATCGTGTCTCCTTCTTCAAGTGGGACAATGTTGGTCGTAGTAACGGTGCCAGTATTCCCAGTTCTAGAAGTCAGTCGTTTTCAAAGAATTTATGGAGACTTTTACTTGTCTGTAAGGGAGGAACTATCAATTTACAACCCCAATTATACTCTTGGTAGTGCAGAATGCTTAAAAAGCTAAAATATCGGCATGTTTAAATAAAGCATGTTTTTGTGGTGCAAACACCCCCGTCGAAAACATTTACGAAATTATTCTGATGCGTATTTGCCTACAAAAATCCTGAAAATTTACGCAGATTATTCGTGTTTTTGTACATAGCTTACAGCTATTCGAGTTGTCTTAGTTGTACATAGCCAATTTAAAAAGTTCGATTGGAAAGAGGATCATACGGACGGTAACGTATGCATTAAGACAGCGAGATGTTCCTTTCCGTGACTTTTGATATAGTATCCTGCTGAGTGTCACTGGCGGCAGCCTCTGGACAGAGTATCCAAAATGGCTCGTTTCAGATACACATAGAACTCCTTGGCATTCATACCTAGTAGGTGTAGCAGATCAACATTGGTGGATAGGTAAGGGCATCTTACAACATTTGCGAATACGCCACAAAGGTCGATTGAGGACAGTCGAATTATATTTGGCAAGTAGTTTTCTCTTTCCCAGTAAGTGAAATCTACAACAGCCTTCAATGCAAGTCCAGTTAGATTGAACGATAAACGTCAGGTGTTACCCCAGAAGTTATCAAACTGATTCCAAAGTTGAATCTAGTAAAAAAGAATGCACGGTTAGTGAGTGTCATATAGATGCAGGTAGATTGCGTAAAAAATGCTAATCATTTAAACATACCCTCATCGATATATGTCTTACTTGTTGCTCTACGTGCACATTTGTTGGTCGAATCTGAGATATGCATGTAAACTGCATGTATTTTGCAGGCGGTATGTCCCGCCAGAATGTGCATTCAAAAAGTGAGGATGTTCGGTTGATTAATAGCTTAAAGTCTGTACGTTTTGTCCCAATCAGTAGCGTGTCCTCAAAACGGAGGCGAAGCGCATTTCGTTCAAGGAATTTTGCGACATCACCCAGGATGATGTCGCCGTCCTTCCGAGGACATTTTGGCGTGTCTAATGATAAAATCGGTAACAGAAACTGCTACAGTCGAAATATTATATGCGCATCTATAGTAAAACGGCTGATGCACCCATAAACACTACTTTGTTTCGTAAAGAACAAGCCCTAGACAGAAAGTACGGAAAATTTAGGGACTTAAGTAATTTAAAATTACGATTTAAGAATTGAAAATTTTCGATCTACGTATTTAAGATTTTATAATTGGAATTCAGCAGGTATGCACGTATTCCTGTGAAAGGTGGTACACATCAGTTGAAAAGATAATTGGTGATTATAAACGTTAGTCTCACCAGTTAACACAAAACAACATTCCACGTGAAGAAGCAAAAGGGAAACAGCAACAAGTGAATTCATTCTTTCATCAAACAAATGAGATCACTTGCGTCATAAACCCTTAAAATGCGTTAACTAATAATATGTGAAGTCAACGTCTTTCACGGTAATTGGATAGGTTTTGTGACAGATTGTGACTGTGGCAAAAGGACTGTGCATCTGCGTGTTGATGTGTGCATTCAGACTGCAAAACTAAAGTAAGCGGTCGAAAACGCATTTCGAAATGTCATTTGACATTTCATTTGTTAGAGCAGGTCAGAATTGCGGCCATGAGAACGCTGTTTCCGAGCGCATTAAAATCAGGCTTTGCATAAAGAACTCGAAATATGGCATAATTCCAGATAAAATAATTATGTGCACAGCAATTCCTGCATTCCATTGAGTAGATACTTATGATATCCTTTCATATATTCATTTGGTAGCAAATGACACTTTTTAATTTCATACTCGGTGAACGGGTACATTTCGTTCAAAAGGTAACCATACAATAGGAGTATTTTCTTAATTTTTAATGCACATTTAAATGTCGTCGTAATTTTATTTCGTGTTGATATCTCACCCTGTGCACATCCTCGGCCCTGAGCTTATTACCCCTTCAGAGTCGGCAAAATTTCGTGCTGTGGTACGACGCCACTTCAAAGCGTTTTACGCTGACCAGACAGGGAGGTCGACCTAAAGTCGTACAACCTCACAATGCCACTCACTTTGGGGTCTTTCAAACGCACATCAGTCAATATGTGCACTGGTTTCCTCCAGTTTATCCAAAAAAGGTCATCCAACCCAGACTTACGCCGGCTGTCCTAGTGGCCGTCGTGCTGATGGTCAGATTCAATGCCACCTGACGCATTAAATTATTTCTATTGTGTAGTTAGCCTATTCATCACATTAAAAATGTCTAACTTATAAGAAATAGGTACGATCACTGGAACAAGAGCTATATTCGCCTGAGGTTCCTGATTCTCGTCCGAGCCCATCATTAGCGACAATGACAGAAACAATTGATTTCTGCACAGAAAGATGTCAAAGTTATAGCATGCAGTCACTATTCAACTGTATACCTGCGATAATTAAACGTTCTCCTTCTTATCTAGAATTATTTCCCGCTGGTGTGCTAACTGCTGAATTTTCATCAACTATGTCGAATGCTAGGTTATTATTGGTCGGCCATCTGACTCACCGGACTGGGCGCTCAACATGCGATTTATTACTTTGGCCAGACTATGTATCAGCACCGAAAATGGAGTAAGAACGTCACTGCACTTGTGTAGTAAAGATATTCATCACTTAAGAACATTTCTAATTATAAAATATTTGCTCACGGCCGAACGAATAAAATCGCGTCAGTGTGTGGGTTGAGCAATTTCCGTTTATGCATGCATTAACCCTTACTGTCACTGATTTCCTTCTCCTCTCTCCTCCCCTCCCCTCCAATCTACTTTATACACATGCTCCGTTTTTATGAACGGGCGAACCGTAATCGAATGCCCTTATCATTCATACTTTCAGTGCGTACCTTGTTTACATATAAACGTGCAGGGCTGAGGAATATTTATCAAAAGTACGCGTGAGCCAGCAAAATGCTATTATGAATTATTCCATGGAAATTTTGACAACTTTAAATTATCGGTGTTTATACGGTTCGTACACGAGTGGAAAAGGCAAAATGCCCTCGTTTCATAGCCGACTGGAAATAGTGATCGATCACTAGAACATTGTGTAAAATTTGAAGTTGCCCACGCTGATAATGTCGAGGGTAAATACTGATGTAGTAAATTACAGACCTTAAGAAGACCCAATAAATAACTCGTTAACCGCTCTAGAGGATAGGTATTATAGGGAGAGTGCCGCATTTCCGCCAAGGACTCTACGTACTGCATCAGACCCAACTGTAGCTTGCGTACTATGACAATCGACCGTGCAAACACGGGTATACTGTTTACGGATTCATGAAGGATAGACTTTTACTTTCATACTGAACTTCCCAGGGTTAACAACTGGCATCGCTTGGGGCTGCGTATACATTTACCTAACGAAAAAGGACAGTACGTTTCCTGACCCAATACGTACTTACCCAGATCGTTTATTCCTCGGCAGTCATGCGGACAACAGCAGTATACAAAATATGATAGTAAACTACCCAAAAACCTGATCGATTTTTTTCTTGCCACGGACACTGCGATGTATAGAATTTAACTGTTTACACAAGGTATGTGTTGGCAAATGTATAAAAATGATCTCACTTTACCGTCATTAGACTGTGGATTGTGCCATACGTGATTTATGGTAAAAGGACTTTAATGGGTGGGGCAGCTCCCTAGACAGTAAGCTGACAAAATGAAAAAAACACAGAAATTGTCTGCATTTGTGCCAAATGTCTTATCGCACGCTTTTGCACGAAAACGAAACGGATGTAGTAAATAAACAATTGACACAAAGTAAATTTCAGAAAAATTCGGATTTTGAGTTAAGATGTGAGTTTGTGGTAAGTATCGTTGTTGACAAAGGTATGCCAAGATAAAACCCCACACCACACAATACACAGTCTACTGACAGGTAAGTGGGGTCTTCCACTAAACTGTTGCCCATCCCCGACTCCCCTAAAAATGAAATTTCGAAACGTGCTCTTGCAAATTTACAGTGTTTTTTAAAATTAATTGTTTAATGCTTGATACATTATTCTGGGTCGTTGAGGTGGGTTTAAAACACTAACTTTGTTACGGATATAATCGCGATAAATGTAGCACTCGTTTATGAATTTTGCAGATGCCGTAATGATAACCTCATCGTACGCAGCTCCGGTTTATGCCTTATGCAGAGTTTTTGAGTGCAATGCCGGGCTTTAAGTTCATACAAACAGGGTAATTGATGTCGCTACGGTACTTACCAGTGATATGCGACCTACGTGAAATTAAAAAAACAATAGTTTTGCTTAAATTACAAAAGTAACGGCTTTGCGAGTTTTGCTACGAATGCACCCTACTTTTGGAATTAACATGGCGTATATAATTTAACAAGGGATTTGTATTCCGAAGTAATCTCCTGCGTCTTGTTGAGAACATTGTTAAGGATTGGAATCTGATACTCAATGGGTACCTACGTTTTAACACCAAGCTTGCGGAGGCGAAAGTGATGGCCAAGTTTATCGGGGACTGTATTGAGAGAAATGAGTATCCAGACCATTATTGGAGAGCGCTGCGTCGTAGTCGCACAGTTATTACCACAGAAACCCTGAAAAGATATGCCGAGAATCAACTGGAGAGTACCCTCGTAAAATTAGAGGAACTTGAGCGTCATGTATGTCAACGCACAGCCGTCCTAGATATCCTGGCAGATGAGGAAAGACGAGAATTCGACATGTACACTCAGTCCATTAAAAAGAAACGTGGTGAGGCAAAACGCTCTGCTCTTCTTAGGAGTTTACATGAGATGAAAGCCCAGTCACGGTTTCCGAAAGACCCAGCTCGGTACGTACACAACTACTCTCATATGACACTTGATAAAACAACACTTGAAGCATTATCCCTTGGTCCGAAATTTTGCACACCTCGTCGAAAAGTAAATCAGTTAGAATTGGAAACGCAGTTCGAGAACCTCTGGAACCAAACATTCGATCTATTGCCCGTTTCCACAGACAGTATCCAACACTTCAAATCCACACTAGTGAATTGCAGCTACCAATACCTAAACAAAGGACCAAAAAGTCGAGGATTACTGACAAAAGCACACGTGGAAAAATTAAAAGAACTTCGAGGGAACAAAGAGATCTTGGTAACTAGACCTGACAAGGGAACAGGCGTCGTCATAATGAACAGATCGGACTACGTAGCGAAGATAGAGTCCATACTATCTGACCAGAAGAAATTCAGAAAGACAGATAAAGAGAAGGATTGCACNGCCCTTCCGCTCTTGCCGAGCCTGTAATTTAAAACCTAACTTTTATCGATTTTTGTTTCACTCACTCTACCCCGCCCTATGTAATTGTATTGGCCTGATGAGAATTTACCGAAAGGAACGTTCACTCGCCACTCTCTCTTCTTTTCATTTATACTAAAATCCAACCACCCTTTTTGGAGTTTAAGTATAATCCCCGGGTAAAGATGCGTAGAAGCCAAGTAGGTCGACTTAGGAGACACTGTCATTTTAATCTGGATTAACTAGCGTTACGCCAATGTTATTGCTTTATGCGGCTTATGCATTTATATCGCCAAACATGACGTTATATGGTATATGACAATAGGTTGCCTTAACCGAATTTATTAATTTAACTGGATTTTTTGTCATAAACCTGACAATAAAAAACAGAGTATGACATAATTTGCTCTGCAGAAATAACAAAAGACATTTAAATCTCACAGCAAAAACCGTGGCATATAAAAGTTAACTGTTCACATGAAGAAATTGTTTGTTCACCTTCATTGCAATATTTCAAGTATTATCAGCTACAGAGTGTTGAATTGTGGTAGTTACTGCTGGCACTCTATGGACTGGCCACACGAAATGTATTGCTGCAGAAAGACGTTGAAGTCACTGTCACGCATACCAAGCATCTGCAATAAAAAGTTGTTAATGCGTTTATATGAGATGTGCGAAACAACCTGCATGCATTGTTGAGCTTCAGAGAGGACAGTGGAATCATATTTAGCGGAATGTTATCTACTTCCAGTATGCACCATCTACAGTTGCTTAGGTGCTAAACTGCGTAATATGACCATGGACTATCCAGCGCTGCGGCGCGAGATTGTTGGACTTTTTAATTGAAATTCATGTTGGTTTTCAAAGTGTGTATGGAATAATAGGATAATTAAAAGAAATGACGAGACTAACATACTGCTTATACTTTGATAATTATACATATATCGTCATCCTACCTGTTTCGCTACATGAACTTCGACGTTAGGGATTAAATCTATGTACGCGTATTGCCGGTATCTGTCTGAACACTTCCCTTTTGGAAATGTGCAATCGAAAGTGAAGTGTCTCTCATGGATTATAATTATGAAATAGAAACGCCAGCATTTATCACCCAGTATTATCTCAATATGACGTTAATAATCTTGCCGAATCAAGTGTGCTACCACAGCATTAAGACTAAAGTCATGCTAAAACGCGGGTATTTTGTTGTATCTAAAAAGCAGAAACAAGCACGTTATTATTTCTTCATCAACATTACCACTGTGATAATTTACAAAGACATAATTGACGAACACAGCAAGTCAATGTTGTTTGTACGACATACGGTGTTCAATCGATGGTCCTACTTTAAGTGCAGTGGTAGACTGCCAAAATCGGTCCTGTGTTTAAGGCCTAATGCTTTCGCCAAAAACATCATATAAATTTTAAAATACTTATGTAAATCATTGTTTTCTTCAGGAAATCTATCTGAATTTTGTCTCGTTCATTCATTTAATTGGCTGTCCCAATAATATAATTTGCGAAGCAAAAAAAATTGCTACGAAAAATTTCATTCTATTATGATCTTAATAAGCAGATCATGAAGCCAACGATATGAGTCGTTGGGCTGATCTTTTATTACCAGTAGATTTGAATGGAAAATGGAAAAGACGCATTTATGCAAATGAAGTAACTTACTGACGTCTAGACCAGAAGCCCAACCGATTAAGTCATAAACTGTTCAAAGTAAATTTTTAAACTAATCAGACCTTCGCCCCCTTTAATCTACTAATGGTTAAATGGTATGGTCAAATAGGATGAGGCAAGATATGTTGTTTTTGGATGCGTTTAATTTTGTATACCGTGCTAAAGATTAACTGCATTAATCTAAATAACGAAAAACGCGATTCCCTCCTTTCTGTCACAGTTTGTCAACATCGTCATTCTACGCCAGCATTAATAAGGTTCATCTTTGAAAAAGACAATAAATCACCTTTCCTTTCAGACAGGTACCATTGGCTGGTCGCGTGTGCTCGAAATTTTTCACGCAAGGAGGAAGGTCTAATAAAGGAATGTCAATATATAAATTTGAGTTACAAATCACGAGAGACGTTATAAGTAAACAATAAATTCTGCTGTGAAATTGAAACTGATGCGTTGAGACAAAATAGAAAATGTTATCATACGGACACTGCCGCGGCCATATTATCAAAGAGCCAAGAGATAATTCAGAAACTTCTCTGAAGATGAGTTTAAGCATGAATCCGGGGTGACGGGGTGTCAGCGGTGGGTTCACGTAATGGTCGTGGTGGTCGCTCACATGCTTGCAGGTGAGACTGCGCCTAGCGTCAACTTGCTGACACTCAACTCTCACCTGTGGCTCCACGTAGCTGGACTCTGCTCAGCGGCCACACCACGGGCAACCGTCTCGACCGGCGGGCTAAACCAGGTGAGTGGGCCCTGTGTGTCTGTGCCGTGTGCACAGGGTTTGCGGTTTCCGCTGGATGGAAGGTCGGATGGAACCTTGCGTCGGCACCGTCGCGACGTCGTTCGTCTCTGCACGCCGCTGGACAGCCAATGACGGGATGGATCTCCAAATCGACATTGCCTGGACGCGCCCACCTACGCCGTCGGAGACCGCGGCTTACGGCGAATTCGAGTCGCTCTCCACTACAACCCGAAGTCGTGGTCCCATAGTGGAGTTCGGCCGTGCCACAACGGCACATGGCATCCCTATTCAGAGATGGCACTGCCAGCCCCCACGAGGGGAAGGGCCTCGAAAAGGTGGCCTAAACATTGCTGGGTATCACGCCGTCTCCAGGCTAGCCTGGGCCGCAGACGTCTAATCATGATCGAAATAATCAAAATCGAAACAACAACAATACCAATAACAACAACAACCATGCTAATTCTCCTCATCCTACCTCTTCTTCCTCTTCCTCTGCCTATTCTTCTCGTTCGTCACCTTCTTCTCCATCTCCTTCCCGTCGCCCCACTCGCTGTCACCAGACAGGCAGGGTGAGCCCGCTCACTCTGGCAGCCTGGAATGTTCGTTCCCGTTTAGACAATCCGAGGAGCAACCGACCGGAACGGAGGACGGCGCTAGTGGCACGAGAACTGGCGCGCTACAAGGTGGGCATCGCCGCACTCAGCGAGACTCGATTCTCCGAACAAGGCCAACTGGAGGAGGTGGGTGCCGGCTACACCTTCTTCTGGAGCGGTCGACCCAGGGCAGAGCGACGGGACGCGGGCGTCGCCTTTGCCATTCGGAACGACATCGTGGGACGACTGCCCTGTTTGCCGCAGGGCATCAACGATCGCCTGATGAGCCTCCGCCTGCCTCTCTGGGGAGGCAAATTCGCCACCATCATCAGCACCTACGGTCCGACGATGACCAACCCCGACGCCGTCAGAGACAAATTCTACGTGGACATGCACGCCCTCTTGGCGACTGTGTCGAAGGCGGACAAGCTGATTGTCCTTGGTGACTTCAACGCCCGCGTCGGCACGGACCGTTCTGCCTGGAGAGGAGTGCTGGGTCCCCACGGTCTCCGCGGCTCAAACGACAATGGTCTGCTGCTTCTCCGCACCTGCACAGAACACCGCCTCATTCTGACGATCACCTTCTTCTGTCTGCCGGAGCGAGAGAAGGCCACCTGGAGGCATCCTCGGTCGCGCCGGTGGCACCTGCTGGACTATGTCCTCGTCCGGAGGCCAGATCAGCGGGACGTGCTGGTGACGAAGGCGATCGCGGGTGCTGGCGGTTGGACCGACCATCGCATCGTCATCTCGAAGATGCGTATTCGCTTACAGCCTCGCAGGAGACCACAAGGTAAGCGATCACCAGGTAAGCTGAATGCTGCCTTGTTGTCTTTGCCCACTCACCATCTTCATTTCAGCAATGAGCTAGTTCAAAGGCTAGACAACCTTCCTATCGCTGCCGACGCCGCCGACGCCGCCGCTGCCGAGAACGCCTCCGTAGAGAACCGCTGGTGTCAACTGCGAGACACGGTCCAGTCGACGGCGCTCGCCGTCCTCGATCGCGCTCCCCGCCAACACCAGGACTGGTTCGACGACAACGACGCCGCCATCAGAAATCTGCTAGCTGAGATGAACCGCCTACACAAAGTCTACGTAGATCACCCTACTGATGCCACCAAAGATGCCTTCTAACGCAGCCGCCGCCAACTTCAGCAACGACTGCGCGAGATGCAGGACGCCTGGACTGCTCGCAAAGCTGAGGAGATCCAAGGCTACGCGGACCACAACGAATGGAAGAACTTCTTCTCTGCGATCAAAGCGGTCTACTGCCCGGCGACGAAGGGCACTGCTCCTCTCCTCAGCGCCGACGGCAGCACTCTCCTGACTGAGAAGACGCAAATCCTACAGCGATGGGCCGAGCATTTCCGAGGCGTCCTCAACCGCCCCTTCCTCACCCCCGACGCTGCCATCGAGCGTTTGCCGCAAGTGGAGACCAACGTGGACTTCGACCCCCCGCCATCTCTCCTGGGGACCATCAGGGCCGTGCAGCAGCTCTCCAGCGGGAAAGCACCCGGATCGGACGCAATCTTTGCTGAGGTCTACAAGCACGGAGGTCCCCAACTGATGGATCACCTGACTGCGCTCTTCCAAGAGATGTGGCGTCAAGGTGAAGTCCCGCAAGATTTCAAAGACGCAACCATCGTGCATCTCTACAAGCGAAAAGGGAATCGTCACGTCTGCGACAATCACCGCGGCATCTCCCTGCTGAACATCGCCGGGAAGATCTTCGCCGCATCCTTCTCAACCACCTCAATAACCATCTGGAACATGGCCTTCTGCCGGAAAGTTAATGCGGCTTCCGTCGTCATCGTGGGACCACGGATATGATCTTCGCCGCCCGTCAACTTCAGGAGAAGTGTCAGGAGATGCGGAACCACCTGTACTCTACCTTCGTGGACCTGACGAAAGCCTTCGACACGGTGAATCGTGAAGGACTGTGGAAGATCATGCAGAAATTCGGCTGTCCGGAGCGATTCACTCAGATTGTGCGTCAGCTGCACGACGGTATGATGGCGCGAGTCACGGACAATGGAGCTGTCTCAGAGGCATTCACAGTGGCCAATGGAGTGAAGCAGGGCTGCGTACTGGCGTCTACCCTCTTCAGTCTTATGTTCTCTGCCATGCTGATGGACGCCTACCGCGACTAACGCCCCGAGATCCGCATCGCCTACAGGACGGACGGTCACCTCCTGAATCAACGGCGGATGCACTTCCGATCGCGCGTATCCACAACCACCGTTCACGAACTCCTCCTCGCCGACGACTGCGCCCTGAACACCACCTCGGAAGAGAAGATGCAGCGGAGCATGGACCTGTTCTCCGCCGCCTGCGAGAACTTCGGTCTGGTCATCAACACACAGAAGACGGTGGTGATGCACCAACTGCCACCCAACTCGGCCACAGCCCCCAACGCGCCGCCGCAAATCAGCGTGAATGGGACCCAACTGCAAGTGGTGGAGAACTTCCCGTACCTGGGCAGTACTCTCTCCCGCAACACCAAGATCGATGACGAAGTCGCCAAAAGGATCTCGAAAGTCAGTCAAGCCTTCGGTCGCCTCCAAAGCACAGTTTGGAATCGTCATGGTCTCCAACTGAGCACTATGCTGAAGATGTACAAGGCCGTCATCCTGCCGACGCTACTGTATGGAGCGGAGACTTGGACGGTGTACGCAAAGCAGGCGCGTCGACTGAACCACTTCCACCTCAGTTGTCTTCGTCGCATCCTGAGGCTAAAGTGGCAGGATCGAATCCCCAACACTGATGTGCTGGAACGGACGGGAATCCTCAGCATCTACGCCATACTGAGGCTAATTCAGCTGTGCTGGAGCGGCCACTTGGTGCGCATGGACGACGAGCGACTACCCAAACGACTCTTCTACGGAGACGTCGCGACAGGTTCTCACAGTCAAGAAGGCCAAATTCGCCGTTACAAGGATACCCTAAAGTCCTCCTTGAAATGGCTGCAAATCAACCCGACCAACTGGGATGAGCTCGCACTCGATCGACCGACCTGGTGGAGGACAGTGAAGAAAGGCGCTGCGATCTACGAAGCCAACCGCATCGCTGCTGCCAAAGCGAAACGTGAAGCCCGCAAATCACAACTTCGCCCAGTAAGAAACGCCGCCGCACAACCGCTTCCAACGAGTCCTCGATGTCAACGGACATTCCGGGCTCGAATCTGACTTGTTGGGCATCTTCGGATTAACTGCGCCTCTCGAACGGCACTAACCATCGTCCCCCCGCCCGCCTCTTCCTCCTCCTCTCCGCCGCCAACTAACCCTGATAATTCTTCTGACCCACCACTTCCATCATCCTTTTCCTCCTCCTCCTCCTCCTCCTCCTCCTCCTCCTCCCCCACTGCTCCAACGGCGGCCACTCAGGCGACTGTCCCGCGCACAACAACCGACACTACCACCACCTCCCCCGACTCCAGGGATGAGGATCAGGACTGCACCTGCCCTCACTGCGACCGTACCTTCACCTCACACATCGGCCTGGTCGGTCACTTGCGAATCCATCGCACAGAGACTGGCGAACCAGTGCCTGGAGCACCAACCTACACCCACCGCACTCGCCTCCACTGCCCACACTGCCCTCGCACCTTCAGGCATCGCATGGGCCTTTTCGACCACATGCGCATCCACGAGAGCGGCCTAAACCGCACTCCCGACACACACACCGCATCCAACACATCCACCATGCACACCCCCACCATCGTTCCATCCGTCCGCGCCACCACCACCACCACCGCCCTCTCTGTAGCTGACCCTGACACCGCCGACTTCTCATGCCCACACTGCCCACGCACATCCACCTCACGCATCGGCCTGGTCGGTCACTTGCGAATCCATCGCACAGAGACTGGCGAACCAGTGCCTGGAGCACCCACCTATACCCACCAAGCTCGTCTCAACTGCCCACACTGCCCTCGCACTTTCAGGCATCGCATGGGCCTATTCGGCCACATGCGCATCCACGACGACCCGCGGTAGACAACCGCTGACCATACCACACATTCACTCACTCCCTACCTCCTCCACCACCATCATCACCCCACCAGAAATCAACACTCACACACCTCATGCACTCAACTGCCACCTCCCACGAAAGTGGGAAGTCCGCATCTCGACTCGGTCCCCATGCGGCTTCGGCTTGCACGGGTGACTTGAGTCCGAGACTATCTCGACACGCCAAGCGTCGTGGATAGGAAGGTTGCTGATTGACGCCCGCTCTCGGTTCACGCAGTTTTTTCGCGTTGTGTGTGTGTGTTGTGTGGAGTGGCGGACTGGTGGGCTGGGAACGGGCTGAAACAGCACCTTCCACGGCACTCTCACGCAAGTGAGAGACACGCCGTTCAACCCCCGTTGTGTGAAATCCTGGTGTTGTATGCATGGGGGGCCAGGTCCTGCCGTGGTGCGCGCAGTCATGGTCATTCGACCACGACAGCCACCGCGCCCATTCCCGACTCCAGTCTGCGGACCGGCTCGGACAGCGGCTGGGGTGTGGGAGTGGGAAGGGAGAGTGAGGTCGAGGACTCAGCGCACTTTCTTCTCACTATAAACAATCTGACGCGCTTGAAGCTTTCACGGTGCGCTAAAAGCCGTGGCTTGGAAGGTTGCCAACTGACGGGGTAACTTGGACCTCCTCCTTGACCGGAGTCGGTCTGAGAGTTAGGCTGCAATGGCTCCTATTTAATGTGGCCTTTATGACACTCCCATCACAGTGTGGGATCCGAGCCAGGCGTTGGCGGCACGCCCAGGTGCGGCTTCGGCCGTGCCAGCCTCCAAATCTCTCTTGTGTTGGTTGAAATCCTGGTTATTTGTTGTGTGGACCAGGGGGTGTGGTGGAACGCCAAGGTGAAGATCCGTCCGAGCCATCCACCTGCGGCCTCTCTCGTCTCCGGTCTTTTTGACTCTGTCTTGACACCGGGCTCGGGCGAGGAAGGAGGAGAGAGTGTATGTAGATGCTACACAAGTCTAGCGGCACTATAAACCCCTTCGTAAGTCACCGTCCCTGCTCCCATTGCTGCTGTAACTGTGGGGCACACGGTGGACATCATCGAAAACAATGGTCGAACTGTCAAGCTTGAATCCGATACTTCAGTCTCCTTCTTTACAATATTCAGTTTCTTTAGGGTAAGGTAGTACCATAAAAACAACACAGGTTCTGCCGATAAAAGCGAAGATGCCAGTTCCGGGAACTAGTTGATAAAAAGAAGAAACGATCGTTGGAACAAGGGCTTTATTCGCCTGACGTTTTGGAATCTCACTTGAACCCATCAGAGGCAGTGGCAGAAAAGGGGCATAAGCCAAAAGCTAAAGTACTTGTGCTGTTAGTTTGGTACCACCTTACCCCAAAAGTATTCAAATAATTGCCTGTCGGCAGTTTACGTGTATTATGCGGTTACCCGCTGCGATGATGATTATGACCCAAATTTTAATACATTAAATTTTTCGTTTGAGATTATAAATCCTGAGCAAACTGATCCAATTAAAGTTCGTAGCCAATTTCTAAGGAAATTGAAAAGCAACAATGCAGTCCCTTATATTTTGGGCGTGATTATTAACCCGATGCTTATCCTCAAAAAGGTTGACTGTGCCGTTGTCCAGCTATGCATTCTATCGCCAAATGATTTTGCACAAGCTTAGGTCTAATATCTGCAAGTTTTTTAGAGTCTGCAAAACATGTTCATCACTCAAAAGCTTAGGTTTATCGGTTGATGTCAATCTCTTGTGACTTTTCTCGGTAACTGCGCAAATGAAAAAAAGCAAAACCCGGAGATCAAACAGGCAAAAGTGCCCTTTTTCCCCCGTCCCAATGCACAATATTTTTGTGAAACCCATGTGGATTTTTCTTTACACCGTAAAAGAATATATGGATCCCGTACGCGGAAAATATACAGCGTTGTTTAGAAAATTCGAATTCTTTTGAAACGCGCAATATCCCGAAAACGTCAGAAATGGCTCTAATTAAGCAACTTTCGTGTTTAGATGTATAGAATGTATTCTCATACGAAATTCATAGTAAATATGAAATTAAACATAAAATAACTTCGTGTGACTTCATATGACGGTTTGTTAACTGCCTACATTCTGAGTGTAGATCCCAAAATAGTTTTCTAATGTTTCACAGTTTCATTAACGATTTGGAGTTAAATGTGATAGGGTTTAACCAGAGAAGCGGGATTTTGCTTGATTTCACCGATGGGGACTTTCTGGGATCAAACGTTTTCATAAGGTGACATGCCATCAGGCCGGTCGGTGCCTTATAAATTTAAATAGAACTGACAGGCGTGATCGGTAACATACCATATTGTGTTTATAGAGAGAACTTATCTCCCGATAAATTAATTTATGCTCTATGTTGTTTTGATCACTTTGAGTTTCAGATCGGCCTTGGCTCAAACTGTTTATTAAAACACTCGTAGGTAAATTACTATCCTTTCAAGGAAAAAGCCGCTCAGATGCATAACTGAAGTTTAGCACATGCATTTGTATAGGAAATCGCACGAATATATTCCGACATCTATTTTCGCTAAAATTTACTCATATTTCACTTGATGTAATTACGCAAACACAATTTCTGAACATGCAAAGGACATTTCATTGAAAGATGTGGGTGACGGAACAAAATGCATCACGTTAAAGGCGTCCACAAATTCTTTTATCATATTCTTTTTTCAGATTTCATGAGATAGGTCACGTACTGTAGTTTACCCGCCCAACCTACTACAATGAATCCACCAAATCTGCTGCAGTAAGTTGACTGCCGAGGCAGTAGGTTCGGTGGGAAACTTGACCCACACGCGATTAGACGACAGTCGTCTGGAGGGGCCTCTTAGCTCAAGTGGTTGGAGCACTGGCTGTACAAAAGCCTTCCCTTTATTGTGTGGGTTCGAATCCGACCGAGTTTTCGAGTGCTTAGCAGTTGGGTAAATATGAATTATTTAAAATCTGCCAAGACATATATGCGTTATGGACAAATGCTAAAAGCTACAACCAAGTGTCAATAGTAATTTTCTTACTTGAGCCTTCTATCACTAGAAATGTCTTAAAATGATTAGTTTTTTTAAGTATGCAAAGAGAATGATCAAGTGCATTGGACAAAATCTAATCTGGCTGACATTACTGTGGGATGCCGGACACAC